GTGCCTTCTTGAATGGACTTCTTCAGGAAGAAGTTTATGTGGAACAACCTAAGGGATTTGTTGATCCAAAATTTCCCCACTATATCTACAAGCTTCACAAAGCCCTTTATGGTCTGAAGCAAGCTCCTAGAGCTTGGTATGAGAGATTCACATCTTATCTTGAGGAACATGGGTTCTCTTGAGATGGTGCAGACATGACCTTATTCATTAGACATATAGAAGAAAACTTTACCATTGCTCAGATCTATGTCGATGACATCATTTTTGGGTCTCCTCTAGAGTCTTTAGCGATTGAGTTTGCTGAGTGTCTGCAGAGAGAGTTTGAGATGAGTATGGTTGGGGAGTTGAGCTACATTTTAGGACTTCAGGTACGTCAGACAGAGGATGGACTGTTTATCTCACAGTCTAAGTATGCTAGGGATTTGGTTAAGAGATTTGGGTTAGATAGTAAGAAACGTACTAGGACACCGATGAGTACTAGCTTGAAGTTAGGTCGTGATCCTTCTGGCAAGAGTGTAGATCCTTCCCTATATCGTAGCATGATAGGTAGTCTTCTCTATCTTACAGCTACTAGGCCCGACATTGCTTTTAGTGTAGGAGTGTGTGCTCGTTTTCAGGCAGATCCAAAAGAGTCACACCTAAGTTCTGTTAGATGAATCATTCGATATGTGAGTGGTACTGCGGATCTAGGGATTTTCTATTCTAGGAGTTCCAATCTTGACTTGGCTAGATACTTCGACGTCGATTGGGCTGGAAATGCAGATGATAGGAAAAGTACGACCGGGGGTTGTTTTTACATGGGTAGCAATCTCGTAGCTTGGCTAAGTAAGAAACAAAACTCAATATCCTTATCCATGGCAGAGGCCGAATACATAGCTGCAGGGAGTTGCTGTACTCAGCTTCTTTAGATGAAACAAATGCTTAGTGATTATGGGATTAGTCAAGGGACTATGACTATCTTTTGTGATAATACAAGTGCGATTAACATTTCTAGGAATCCCATTCAGCACTCTCGTACAAAACACATCGATATACGACATCATTTCATTCGAGAGCTGGTTGAATCACAAGTTGTTTCCCTCGACCATGTGTCTACTGAGAATCAATTGGCTGACCTACTTACAAAACCGCTAGATGGGTTGAGGTTCGAATCGCTTCGGTCGGCTGTAGGTGTTAGTTCACCTATTTGATCATGTGTTCATACACATTCATACCTTCATCACATTGCATATGTGTTGCATGTTTGTGTGTTTTTTTAGTCTTAGTTTGCGAGTTTTATTTGTGTGTTTCAATAAAATAAAATAAAATAAAAAAATTTGATTGGGGTTTTGATTATGTGTGTGCCTTATATGCTTTGACTCTGACATGTGCATTTAGACTCGTACTTTTTTATTCATCATATGTACGACTCTGAGGTTCCATCTAAGTTCACTTTGTCTGTGGAGTTTTGGGTATATGGCTCGTCATTCACCTTTACACAGTGCACACCGTAGTCCTGTAAATGAGTCTTGACCGCATGGGTAAGACTTGGGATGGTGGTCTACTATGATTGGGGTTGTGTGTCTATTTGACTTGATCTAGGACGAGTGTCACCTAATCATAATGTCTTTCCCCACGTTTATTGTATATTGTCGAACTTTTGCTATGTTTGGGGCCTATTTGACTCGAACTATTAAGCCCAAGGGGTTTTTAACCTGGTGTCCTAAGGTCGTCTGGCTTGGGAGTCACCGGCCCAACGTTCGTTACAAGGGTCATCTCTGTCGCCTAATGAGGATAGCATTGCACTTATGTTCGCGTGTTAAAAAAAAAAAACATGAGATCTTTCAGTTAGGGGAAGTAAAAGTGTGACAATCGAATTATTTGATATAGGTCCTCGTGGCATTGGATTTGACTGTCACTTGGTCGACACATACCTTTGTTGTGTTGCTTTCACGTGTCCTTTCTCACTAATTTAAGGTTTTGAGTCTAACTTGCATGGACTACGTAGCACGTTTCACGTGATGCTTTGTATACACTTTCCTAGACGAGTTATTTGATCTATGTGTGGACTTACGAATTGTCTATATACTGTGTATTGGGTTTGTGTCTTCATGGTTATGTTTGGGCTCGATTGCATATTTTACTACACATCGTTAAAATTTTGTTACTCAGGGCTATTTTCATAATTTTCAGAGTGTTATGCCATATTTTAAAGAATTCAAAATTTTGGTGCTATTTTTGAAAGTTGCATTTTCGCTCGAGGCTCGCTCCATACCTCGCTCGAGCGATAATAACAGATTCACTCTCGCTCGAGGCTCGCTTAAACCTCGCTCGAGCGACAGTGCAAGGTTTTGAACTATAACTTCATTTCTCGCGTTTCCAGTTTGAAAATTCTCCAAGTTCTTCACAAATTTCATACAATCCTCTGGAATTTCTTCTGTTCATATTGTTAATTGAGTGTTACGACGTTATTACACATCATTTCAACATCAAAATTTCATTTTTGAACTTCAATTGAGGTAAACTTTCCATGTTTTTATTTTTTTCATTTTTTTTCTTTTCCTCAATTCTTTGCATTTTGCGTGATTCTTTGCTTCTATTACGTAAGTTCTTGGGCTATATCTTGTTTAGCATCATTGCCATGAAGTTTGTTTCACGTTGGATTTATATTTTCCATGGCATTGTGAGAATTGTGTTGAAATTTTGCTTGTGTTAGTTATGTTTTTCATCGAAGTTCATCGCGTTGGTTCTTGCATTCCGTAAATCCGATTTGCATGCCGTTTGTTTCATATTGTTCGGGATGTTACCTAGTTTGTGGTTGTGTGATTGGGTACGGGGTTACGTATCTTGCGTGCCTGAAAAGTTGTGCCAAAGAACCGCACGCCACATGCTCGATGAAATGCCTTAGTCTATTTAGGTTTGATTTTTTTTACATGTTTTGTTGTTTCCCTTTTGCATGGTTCTTCTTCATGGTGTTTGTGCATGGTTTCTTGGTCGGGTGTCGAGACAGGCTATTTATGCTCGTAGGGTCGTTTCGCGTTTTTCGATACATCTTTGTTTGACGCTCATGTATGTGCACGTGTGTCATGTCACGTTGCATCACTTCACTTGCATTATTCATATGTCTCATTTCTTGCCTCTTTACGCGTGCCAGATGGCTCTTAAGCGATCGCGTCCCTCTTCCCAGCCTGCTAGTGGTTCGACCTCATACAGTCGTTCGAGGTTCATTTCTGCTACTGCTAAGGAGGTCTTCACGTCCCAGTTCTCCTTACGCCCTGTTCTCATGGAGCGTGGGTAATCCTTTCTGACCTACCAGTTGAGATAGCAGCCATTCTAGTATCCAGGGGTTGGGAGCCTTTACTTGTTGGTCTCTCTCCTCCACCCCCTCTCTTTGTCCAGGAATTCTATGCTAACATCCATGACATTGATGGGTCCTCGTTTCGGTTTTTTCTACGGGGTCATACTTTTAGGGTTACTCCTTCTGCCTTAGCTAGGGCTTTAGGTATTCCTGAGATTACCCATCCTACATACCCCTATATTTTACCCTCTTCTGTTCCGGCCGACTCCCTTGTTCGGTCGACGATTTTGAACACTCCGTCTGTCGGGGGGCCTACGGCGATGGCCACTGGGTCTTTACCCACTGATCGCCAGGTTCTGTTGCGCATTGTGTGCACGAACCTTTGGCCTATTGCCCATACTTCTTCTTTACCTATGGGACGGGCCCGGTTTTTATATGCATTACTTCGCGGGGATTCGATTGACCTCCCTAGTTTTATTTGCCAGCAGATTCTGGCTTCTTT